CATGGAGGCAATCAGTTACAACATTCCATATCCTCCTATTCTTAACTCTCCTTGCTCTGTTGCTCCAGGTGAGTAAAGACCAATTATTGCGTCTTAGATGGCTGCTTGCAGGCTTTTATGATCTCAGGCACTATGCAATGAACTAGGAGGTATTATTAGGCCAATTAATTGGGATGTCCTATGGAACTACGACACAGTAGAACTATGAACATAGGAATGATAGTAAGGATGGTACAGGATCTGACAGTGTTCTGCTTTATTGTACATAATAGGGTCACTGTGAGTTAAAACAGACTCAGCAGCACTTAATGACAAACCCCCAAACTATATGCCATGAGGTCTCAAGAGCTATTCTTGTTTTCCATTGTCAATTTATTTATCAAATACCACTAATCATCACATTTTAAAAAGTACTATACAATCAAAGAACTAATTAGCTTACTGTTTAAGTCAGCCAATGAATGTTGACTGAGTTAACTATTAAGTCCCAGGAACAGTTCTAACTACTGAAGACACAGAAGTAAATAAAAGAAAAACCGCTACCCTCATGGAGTTTATATGTCCTGTGGGAGTGAATCAACAACTCTGTGGCAATGGGATTTGTGAGGGTGGAGAAAAAAGATAAAAATTATATAGAATATCAAATAGTAAGTACAATGGAGAAAAATTAAGCAAGTAAGGGGATAAGGTCAGGGGTGCGGATGCTGCAATTTAAAATCAGGTTGTCTGAAAAAGCCTCTCTGAAAGGTGGGTATTTCAATCAAGATTTCAAGCCATGCAATTACCGGGGAAACTTTCTGGGGAGATAGAGATGTTTTATATCTTAATTGGTGTTTGGGTTACAACACTTAGCAAAATTCACTGACTTGCACAATAAAGTATGTAGATTTCACTATATGCAAATTATACCTCTGTTTTTTTTTTTAATTAACCAAATATTCTAAATCTATGATTCATTTTACAGATGAAGAGAAACAAAGGCCAACTCAAAGAGACAGAAATACTTGCTAAAGGACTTTGAGTATGTGTTTGTGAAAACATTTTTATTTTTTGGGGGGTGGGGGTATGTATGAGTAATGAGTTAGAGTGAGGCTAGCTCTAAGTCTTTGCTTAGCATTGTTAGGGTTATGGTTACGACTAGCATTAGTGGGGTTGAGCTAGGGCTTGGAGTAAGACTTGGCCTAGTTTTAGAGATGTAGTGGTGGCTGTGTGCCATGGAGTCGGCTCCGACTCATAGCGACCCTGTACAGGGTTTCTGAGGCTGTAAATCTTTATGGGAGAACTCCTCATCTTTCTCCTGCAGAACAGCTGGTAGTTTTGAACTGCTGACCTTGTGGTTCACAGCCCAATTTGTAACTGCTATGCTACCAGAGTAGCTAGGTTAATTTATTTTATTTTGAAATCAACTTGATTTCATCTTCAATTGGTAGTTCTAAAACCACATTGTCTCTTTTATTTTGTAGGGTTTTTTTGTTGCAAACAAAAATCTCTGGTTCTTAACTTTTAGTATTGTAGGTTTGTTTCACTTTGGATACTTTTGTATCTGGGTTGAGTTCTGGGTAATATTGTCATGTATATTGACCTCAGGTTGTTGGTTCTCTGTCTAAGGAACTCCCTTTACTATTTTTTTCCGTGGTTGGTCTACTTTTTCAAATTCTTTTAATTTCTGTTTATCCAGAACTGTTCTAATTTTGCTGGGAATATTACTCTTGATCGGTAATTTTTTTCTTTAATTTGGTTTATTTCATGCCATTGTCTTCTAGTCTGCATGGTTTCTGGTGAGAAATCAGAACATAGTCTTTATTAGCTCTTTGTAGGTAATTTTGTTTATCCTGAGCAGCTCAGAATTCTTTGTCTTTGGTTTTGAAAAGTTTAATTACATGAGTGAATAAAAAATTATCTGCACTCTGGCTATAGAATTTATTTTAATCAACTTTTAGAAAAGCCAAATATATAAGTTGTTCAACATGATCTCCATGCTTTTCAATACAAGCTTTTGTATTTCCTTATTAAAAAATGTTTTAGGCTGAGCTGTGAGCCACAAATGCATTGTTGTCTTCACTTTATCATAGATGAATCTTCGCCCTCGAAGGGCTGTTTTTAGTGGGCCAAACAGGAAAAAGTCTGATGTAGCAAGATTAGGACTATAGGGAAGATTCTTTAACACCCCAAGACAAAGTTTTTGCAGTGTCAACAGTGTGGGCAGAGGTGTGTGGACATGCACTGCCATGCAAGATCATAACGCCATTGAGTAGCAGTCCTTTGCATTTAATTGAAACTTTATGCTTCAGCTCTTCAGTAAGCATCTCACTGTAATGACCACTGTTGATTGTTGAACCTTTTTTCCTGATAATGTTCTAATACTGACCCTTGAGAATCCCCAAAACTGTAAGCATCAATTTTCCAGCTAATGGTTGACTTTTGAACTTTTTCTTGGTCAGCGATTAAGGATGTTTCCATTCCATACTCTGTAGTTTACTCTCAGGCTCACAATGATGTATCCATGTCTCATCACCAGTATACTTTTACCTTCCTTCGAGTACCAGTCCAAATTGTTCACAGATGTGCAAGCACTTCTGTTTATGCTCTTCTGTGAGTTGTTGCGGTACCTATCTCACACAAACTTTTCAAAACTCAAGTCTGTCATGGATTATTTCATAGGCAGAGCCATGATTGATTTGCAAATGATTTTCCACATAATCTACTGTCACTTGGCTAGTCGAAAAAACCATTTCCTGTGCACACTCAATGTTGTCATCATTCGTGGGTGTTGACAGACATTTTAGTATAACTGGAATGCAGATAATTTTTAACTCACCCTTATAATATGTCTTGGTAACTTTCTTTTGTGGGGTCTATCCTGTTTGGAGTGCTTTCAGCTTCTTGAATACATATCTTCTCATCTTTCATGATGTTAATAGTTTTCCTCCAGCAACTCATTGACGAGACTTTGGTTTTTGTTTGGGGAGGGGGTGGATCTCTTACTATTCTTGAATTCCAATCACACTTAAGTTATTTCTCTGGATGGTGTCCCAGATAAGCCTTAGGTTTTCTTTCGAGTTTTTTGTTCTTTTTTTTCTGATTGTTCCTCTAGCAGATGAATTTTGAGAGATATGTCTTCAAGATCATCAATTTACCCTTTCATTAACTGAATTCTACTTCTTAGCCTTTCAATGCAGTTTATTTCTGAAGTTCCAGGCACCGTGGGCTAATGCACGGGACTGCAAAGTCGTTTGAACCACAAGGTCAGTGGTTCAAGCTCAACAGCTTGGAAACCCATACTGGGTCGATATGGCTCAGAACCAACCGATGGCACTGAACAAGTATTATTAATCTTCAGACTTTCTCATTGCTGCTTTTGTATGGTTTCCAGTTTTTCATTTGTCAGTTTGTTTTTATAGTGTTTTCCAGAATTCAAGTTTTATCTATGTTTTTCTTGATCATTCTCTCAATTGTTGAAGGTATCTAAATATCATTCTTTTAATTTCCTTATCTGGTAATTCCAATACCATTTCTGGTATTATATTTTCTGGTTCTCTATTTTGATCACTTGTTTTAGGGATTCTGTATTGTTTCTGTGTAAGCTGACATTGTGGTCTCTGAGACATTGTGATATCATTGTAATTATATGTAATTGATGATTTATGTTGGTGTCTTCTCCTGGTGGATGTGATAGAGACCCGAAGTGTGTACACAATGATCTGGTCACTGTTTGTGTAGTGTAATTCAGGGTGGCTTTGTCTGATGTTGGCTGTTGATGATCATTGATCAGGTAGTCATGGAGTGAACAGTGGCACTTACCCAGTGGGGTGGAGTCACAGGAAGTACAGATGTGGCTGGGCCATATAAGCACAATAGCTATCTCCCCAAAACAAACAACAGCAATAAAAGATCTAATGAGGTAAAATTCATGCATATCCACATTCAGGGGTTTTAGGCCTGACATCAACCCTGAGCAGAGCAGAGATGCAGGATTACGTACCACTAGCTACTGGCCAGGTGAGAGGGGAACTAACCATGCCCCTGGTTGCCATAAGGGCTCAGGGAACAAGGGAGAACCAAACCCTCCTTGATGCCAACCTCCGAAACGCTCCCTGTGTCTCCAGGCTGCTGTAGCGAAAACTGTTCCCAAAAGCTCAAGATGGTCATGCTGCTCCAGACCATCTTGCTCCTGCTCAGCTTCGTCATCCCATTATCACTCAATCCACCTCTCTATCCTATCCTTCAGAGCTCAGTATTTCAGGATCACCATCCATATCTGCTTCAATCTCTTGTGTCCCTGTTGCAGCGTGTCTGCTGACTCTGCCACGTTGCCCATAAACCCTTTGATGACTTGCAGTGTTTTCATTTATATACATAGGGCTACTTTCAGTCAAGGAGTCCTGGTGTAACACTGTAGGAAAAGCACTCCACTGCCAGGTCAATTTGAACCATGAGGTCAGTCGGAACCAACTCGGTGGCACTTAACAGCAACAGTATCAGTGAAAGGTTCTCCTAAGACCTATTCTCTGTTATTGTTGTGAAGTGCCATCAAGTCAGTTCCAACTCATAGCGACCTTGTATAGGGTTTTTGAGGAGTGGCTGGTAAGCTTGAACCTCTAGTAGACACCAATCATTCATGATTTTATTTTACCATCACGAACTATGTCTACTGCAAGTGATAAAGCTAGTTTTAGAGCTAGAAGCTCAACTGTCACTTAACCCAAACAAGATTCCTGCCCCGATGCACAATCAAGACATCTATGGATTGGGAAAGATAAAGGGTTGTGTGCTTTGAGGGGGCCGAAAAGAGGGGAGGAGTAAGAGTGGAGAGAAAAGAGCTATTTTCTATAATTTAAAAACTATTCAGTTAAGAAAAACAACAACTATAATAGCCTGATCTTAAAAACTTCTTAGAGTAACTTTTTCTCCCTCAGCATAAATAAGATCATGTCTACTCATTTGCATATGAAATACTCATGTAAGGAAAATTTTAAATCAATACTCTTCTGTTGACTTACCAGATTGGACACTCTAAGATTTTCTGCATAGCATTAAGGACATTTTGTACTTCTTCAATGTGAGCCAAAGGTGCATCCATTTCTTTCTGTTCCACTGAACACATAAAATAAATGCAAATACATTACTTAAAAAGGCTTATAAACACAAAAGCTGAAATTTGTGCCATTTTTAAATGACAGAAGCTTAAGACTGAAGTGATTTGGAATTACAACAATCCTGTAACTGACAAAAAAAATGTCACAGAGCTCGGAGCCCGGAGCCCTTCCGGGGCCTGTCTGGGCAGATGTTGTGGCCTCCTCTTCCTGGTTATTTTCATGTTTAAAACCAAAACCAACTAGAGCTTCCAGTTCCTACCCTAACTCATTTAGTCAATTCACCTGTACTCATCTCTGAATCCTCCTCAAGCACATCACTGTCCTCCCTTCTCCTTTGGAATATTCCTGCCAACAACACTTGCTACATTCAGGACCTCCTATTTCCCTTTCTTCAAACTTTTGACTTTACTCAAAAAGGCATATGAACCCAGTTCTTAAATTAAAAAAAATTTTGTGGACTGAGTGAGCAAATGCATTTCCCATTCAACAATTTACACACATTTTGTTTTGTGAGATTAGTTGCAATCCCGTCAAAGTAACAATACTGTGCCCACTCCTCTCTAGGTTCCCCATCTCTATTTGCCCACCTAGCCTGCCCCTTCTTCTTGCCTTCTGAATTTTGGTTTTGGGCAAATGCTGCCCTTTGGTCTTATACATATGGTCGGTTGTTCTGAGAAGCATGGTGTTACTATCCACTTTCTAGGTCTGTCTATTGTGTGGCTGAAAGGTGATCTCCAGGAGTGGGTTCAGTTTCAGGTTTGACGGTGTCTAAGGGGTTTCATCAGTCTCCATCAGATCAGTCATTTTTAAAAGCCTGGTCATTTTTTAACTTTGATTTTTTGTTCTACATTTTTCTCCCACTCTGTCCAGGGCTGTAGCAGTTCGAAACTACCAGCTGTTCCGCGGGCGAAAGATGAGGCTTTCTGCTCCTGTAAAGCTTTACAGGCTCGGAAACCCTGTACAGGGTCGCTATGAGTCGGAACCGACTCCATGGCACAAAACAACAATCAGCGTAGTCAGTGGGAGCTGTGGACCATCTAGTTCTGGTCTTGGGCTGTGTGAACCCAGTTCTTTAGGTCTCTTGGCAACAACAGCCTGTTCCTCTTCCTCTGAGTACCTTTCCCATTTCTTCTTTAGGGTTTCCCCCGCCTTCCAAAATAAACCAGGTCATCTTCTTATCCTCATGTTCCCCCAGACACATTCCGTACCTTCTTCCTTCTCCTCAGTGTCTTCCTCCGGTCACCGGTACCTGCCCACCTCCCCAGACTTTTCCCATAACGTTCATCCCCCACCATATAAACACCCATCTTGCTCTCCTTCAAGGCCTCTCCTTTAGGGTTCCTCCCCTTTCACTCTCGAAAACCAGTTTCCCGCTTGCTCCCAAAACACCCCTTCAGGGCCCACCCACTCCCGGCCCGGGGCTCTCTCACCCTAATCCAAAGCAAAGCTTCCGGGGCCTAGTTATCGGTACAGCCCCTCTGGGCTGTCTCCGCTCAGAAAGCGCCCAAGAGTTCCAGCCGAGAAGTCGCAGTTTCAATTTATCTGGAATTCCCGCGCTTTCCAGTCGCCACGGAAACGGGCGGCTGCTGATGAACGTGAGCCTCTCAGAAAGCAAGAGCTAGACGCGTCAGCGGAAGGGCAGGGCAAAAGGAGCCCAGTCTTTCGGGGCTCGGATTGGCCTCCCGTTCTTTCCCTGAATGATGTAATTAGACAGAGCCGGAAAAGAAAGAATTCTACCCGTGTTTTCTATTAGGCACCGCCCCTTCGTCGCCACGCTTCTAGGTGCGGGTTATTACGTCACAGTAATTTCTGCCCTAGGGGCAGAATCGCTAGCTGTGGCCCGAATATGGGCCTACGGTAGTGCCTAAAACAGTCGCAAGAAAAGGGCCTATTCCCCAGCCCTTTCCGTCGCAATGGAAGTATTCAGTTTAGGTAAATGAAAGGGTCGTAGAGGAAAAACTACGATTTCCAGCATGCATTGCGGAACGAAAGGCCTTAACGACAGTGTTCCTTGGAAACTGTAGTCTTATGGAGAGGCACTGCCAATACCGGAAGCAGGCACGAATCTCACGGAACCAGAGTTGCTAGATTAGAGACTTCCGCGTGCTTGTGGACCTTGACACCTATGGATTGGAACGGTATTATGTTTTCGCATCTTGACAGCGGAGAGTAAGCTAAAGAACACACAAATTTTAGGAAGACTGCAATTCCAATCCGGCCCCATCAGTCTCGGGCTAGTAGTCCTCTCAGGTCAGTAACTGGAGGGAACACAGAAAGTGCCGTATTTGCCCAGAACCTCTCGGGCCCACGTCTGCACACGCCTAGTTCCGCCTCCTCTCCTCCAGTGTTTGTTTTTGTTGTGCGATTTAGGTTGCTTCTGTCCCGCCCCCACCGGTGCTGTCTCAGCCAATCAACGGGGTGGTAGCTTTGAAGGACAAGTATTACGAACCAATCTCCTTGTTGGAAACGCAAGAGAACCAGGACTAGGCCCTGTTTCTGTCCGCCATGTTAGATTCACCCCGCAGGGGTAGAAGCAGAGCAGGCAGCGGACGGTCTGTGCACTGGTCTCCGGCAGGCGCCCCCCGGGGGCGGGAAGCTGGTAAGGTAGCAGCTGTGGTTATCTCGGGCTGGGGTCATGTCGCACTTAGTAGGCTGGGGAAGGTTCAAGGGAGGAATTCTGCAGAGGAGAGGGGCGACTTATTCCGTGTGGGGGGGGGCAGCCAATCTTTTCAGAGACCTGATGAGAGAACTGTTCTTGACCGAGGGAGTGGATGTAGCCGTGGAGATTAAGCGTCCGCAGCTTAGAACATCCAGCTTCTGCGGCTGGAAGGCCGAAAATTCCCAACACAAAGAAGGCTAGGCAAAGAAAATGAGAGGAAATCTTCAGAGGGTGGTGACATTATCTTGGGGGCTTGGAGTGCTAGGGAATGATTCTGTACGACAAAAATGAAGTCTGCAAGAGAAAAAGAAATGACTTGACACTACTCACACAGATTCCGCCCCCTCTTTTTGAGAACCTTATAAAGAGGGCTCCTTGTTAGGGAACCTCCTGTTTGGGAAAGCCACCGTTTTTCCTTTTTGTCAAACATTCAACTTTCAGGTCACCCATTTTATTTTAAGCCTATCCAGTAATCAAAGGTCGGATTCCCAGTTGTAGGTCTGTTTTATTAAAGGGATTTTTTTAAGGTTGAAAAAACTGACAAAAGGGGAAAAGATGACTTTGTGCCAAGCAAAGGTGAGTCAATGGCAGGAACTTAGTAATGCCAGTTACGAAATCTCAAGGCCTAGGCCCATGCTGCCTGACTGATCTGACTTCCAACCTATAGGGACAGATTGAGCTAACTAGTTTTGGAATTTCCACAAGTTTTGATGAATGATCTTGCTGAAAATTTTCACATAAAAGGCAAAACAGAAATAGCCAGTTCTTTATGAAGACCTGGATATGATCCAGTTAAGTTAGAATCTCCCACTTCCTGTTTTCTCCCCATCAGCAGAGCAGCTGGATGCCTTCCATATTATCTCAACTAATTTCCATTTGTGTAATTTGAGAAAAGAGCAAGATTTCGTTTCCTGTAGAGCTCTCTAAAGTGTAGAACTGTGTTTTAGAAGTCGGAAAGTAGGAATGTATTTCAAAATAACCCACTTTTGGCAGACTGAATCAGTCACTTCCAGTCCCTGATTTTTTTTGTTTAAAGTTCCTGGGGGAGCTGGACATTCTCTCCAAATTATAAGACTCCAAGAATTGCATTCCTTGTGAATGAAATCTACAGGTCAGCAGGAATGGTGCTCAGGACTGGTCTTTTGGAGGTGAACTCTTGTTTGAATCAGTTCCCACTTAAAGTGACGCTTTATCAGGTTTCTCTAAAGAGCAGCTGGTGGGTTTGAACTGCTGACCTTTTGTCGAAGCTCAGTCTGGATCCAATAGCCCTACACCAGGAGTCTGAACTTAGCTGTAGGTGGAGACAAAATGGAAAAAACTCTTGATCCTCAGAGTTCAAGGTCATTTTGAATGACCCTATCAGCTGTGTTGCTTCACAGGGCCGTGGATGATAACTATGAAAATTAGGATTGTTTTAGGTTCTAAAGGTTGATTTATTATAATAAATTTTTATATCTCAATAACATGGTACTGTAGGATAAGCACTAGACTGCTAACCACAAGGTCAGCAGTCCAAACCCACCAGCTGCTCCTTGTAAACTCTATATGGTGTCGCTATGAGTGAGAACCAACTAGACAGCACCCATGACTCACGGTGATCCTATATAGAGTTTCCAAGGAGCAGCTCGTAAATTTAAACCTTGCAGTTCAAACTGACCTTGTAGTTGAGTGCTTATCCTACAGTGCCACACCAGGACTCCACTTAACAACAACAATGACATTTCTTAGGAGTTTGCTTGGGCACACATTGATCTTAAGATGATATTATGAAGTGGGCAAAACAGATATTAGAACTACAAAGAGGTTAAATGACTTGCTCAAGATTATATGGCTGCTAATTTACTAGAGCCAAGTCTGGAACCGATTCCTTTGCTCCTCATAACAGTGTAAACTCCCAAGATCTCATCTTGCTCCCCTTCTATATTTTGTGTGTAGAGCTCATTAAATATTTGATGCTGAATATGTTTAAGAGCTGACTTCTTTCACTACAACTTAAGTTCAGATTTAAACAACTTAAGCAATTTTTCATAAGGGCATAAATACAAACTAGTTGACCAGTGATAAACACAAACAACTGACCCCAATATAGAGGTTTGATATCTATTAAGGAATTATTAACTTTTAAAGCATGCTTATAGTATTGTGAAGTCCCATTGTGGTGCTGTAGATAAGCAGTGAACTGCTAACTCCAAGGTTGGTGGTTCAGACCTACCAACTGCTCCTTAGAAGCCCTCTATAAGGTTGCTGTGAGTTGAACCCACCTCTACGTCACTTAACAACAATAACATAGTATTTGGTTCTGTTTTTTAACATTAACTTTTATAGGTATGTGCTCATTTATGGTTGAAATGATGAAATTCTATCAAAATGTTCCTAGTAAGTCCTTTATTGTTGTTGTATGCCATTAAGTTGGTTCCGACTCATAGAGACCCTGTATAGGGTTTCCAAAAGCAGCTGATGGGGTTGAACTGCTGACTCTTTTGTTACCAGTCCAGTACTGATCCTATAGTGCATGGGCAGATAAATTGTGGAAACTAGGTTATGGATCCATTGTTGTTTTGTGCCGGTGAGTTGATTCCGATTCACAATGATCCTATATAGGGTTTCCAAGGAGCAGCTGATGGATTTGAAGTTTTGACCTTACAGTTCAAACTGACCTTGCAGTCTAGTGCTTATCCTCCAGTGCCACACCAGGACTCCATAGGGGTTCATTATAGTATTCTGTCTACTTTTGTATAGTTTTGGAATTTCTGATGAGAAGTAGATTTGTTTTGTTTTTAATTAGGTAATTATCACTTGTTTAAAACGTTGTTAAGTGCCATAAAGTTGGTCCATGGTGACCCTGTATAGTGTGTTTCCAAGGAGCAGCTGGTGGGTTTGAGCTGCCAGCCTTGTGGTTGGAAGTCCAGTGCTGATCCTACAGCGCCACACCAGGAGTCCATTAGCTGACTACAGTCAATTCAGTCCTGGTGTTGACATGGGAGCGCAGGGGATGGGATGTAGCTGAAATGAAGGTAGCTCTGAATTGGTTGATAGTACTAATTATTCATTGCTCTCCTCTTTTATGTTTGAAATTTTCTAGTGGAAAAAAATCACCAGACTATAAAAATACACCTAAACTAGGATGAAAGGTGCTGCGTGCTACTGCCCTCATGTTGCTTTGTTAAAATTGATCCAATGGAGAACCTCAGTTTAGTTTAGGAAGAGGCTGTTTCTTAAGAAAAATGTTGAATGTAACTTATCAGTCTTAGAAAGGTGTTGAGTTCCCTGAGGGTAGAGACTTCATCTGTTTTGTTCATCTTATGTAGTATTTCTTACTGGTGGCACTATGGGTTAGGCACTGGGCTGCTACCCACAGGGTCTTGAAGTTCAAATCCACCAACTAACCCTGGGGAGAAAGAAAAGGCTATCTGCTCCTGTAAAGATCTACAACTAACATTAAGATTTGATTTAAACTCCCCACTAGATTGTAAATTTCATCACAGCAAGGATACTGTCTATCCTGTCCAGTGCTGTAACCCGTGCCTGGTCCATACTGGGTGCTCAAGAAGTATTTGTGGAATGACTAAATGTTTATACAATTGATCGGACCCTTTCTAATGTGTTTTTATCTCTCACCTACCCTCTCAATGCTAGCCCCACAGCATGGAACCACCGGTTACTCTGAATGTGACATTTAAAAGTGAAACTCAGAGCTTTCTGGTTTCTGATCCAGAAAATACAACTTGGGCAGATGTAGAAGCTATGGTGAGTGTTACTTTGTTTTGTTTCTCCATCATTTAAGCAAAGACATTTTTTCCAAAGGTAGCTGTTTCTTTCTTTCCGACCATGTTATTTCATAGCTGTAAGAGTCGTCATGTTTACTATTTCTGGGTCATTTTGAAATTGTTCTTGTCAGGGGTTCAGTAATCAGATAAGAGATGTGCCCCATAAAAGGCAAAAACAGGTTAAGTTCCTTTTGGAGAATTTAAAATGAGAAGATAAAAATTATTTTTTTTAGTGAGATGATTTTAAAAACCTATTTATTTTGGAAGCAATCTGAGGAATGAATTGGTTTGGGTCTCAGCCCAGCTAGACCCCAGGGGAATGTCCGGGGAGCAGATAGGTACTGTTGTTTGTGGGCTACCAGTGATCTAAGCTGTGTTTTGTAAAAACTGATGGATTAGCTTTGTTGCTATGTCAGAGACTGAGTGTCTCAAAACTGAGCAGAAAAGCCTCCCCTCTGTCATTAGACAGCAGGTCGACGGCGCCTTTTTGTTTTTGTTACTGCTTTCTCTGCTCTTGGTTTGCCCTTTGTACTCAGGTTCCAGGGGTGAATGTTTTACTTCCTGTGCAGCTCTGTTTATCTAACAGAACTACTTCGTAAAAAGCCTACTTTTATCTGGTTATGTGTGATGGTAACTAAAAAGAAAAAGAAATGATAGAGACCGGAAGGGGATTTGATTTAGTTCTCCACCTCCCAGCAGGCATCTGTACTTCCTAGACAGATGGTTGTCCACAGAGAAGTTGGATCTTGTTTGCCAAGTAATCTGAAAATCAAACCGTCAGCTTTCTTTTCTTTTTCCTTAACTTTTTATTTTGAACTGGGTGGCGGCTTACAGACAAGATCATCATCAGCTCTACATTCAGCAAACCGTACCCCTTGTTTCATCTCAATGATTGCAGTCCTTCCCTGCAACAACATTTATCCCACTTCCTATGGCTCCCCATTTACACCTTATATTTCACCAACGAATAAGGCAAAAACACTTGATGTACACTTACAAAACAAGAGAATTATATATTCATTTAAATGTCCAAAGAGCATGTTCTGCCAGCCAGCTTCCTGCCACAGGCACACAGCCACCTTCTCTGATGGCACTGCTTTCTTTTCATAGTGAGAGCTGGAACCGGGGTAAGGTGGGAATCTGGTAGAGAAGGAAAACACAAATATTTTCAACCAATAGCAAGCGATAGAGAACTGCCCTGTCAAACATGGAAAACTTTCAAGCCCTGGAGAAACAAGTCAACTCTCTTGACATCTGGCTCTCACAGGTTTCACTGTAGTTAAATGAACTGGCAATTTGCTTTTGTTCTTAATTGTAAGTTTTAATTATAAAAGTAAATGCTGATGATGCATGCTGTGGAGTCACTTCCAACTCACAACAATACTATGTCGTGTTCCTGAGGCTGTAAATCTTTACAGGAGCAGAAAGCCTCATCTTTTTCCTGAGGAGCAGCTGGTGGATTTGAACTGCTGACCTTGTGGTTATCAGTCCAACACGTAACCCACTATGCTATCAGAGCTCCTTAAAAGTATAATACATACCATTACAAGTCCTGGTGTGATGCTTGTAGAATAAGCATTAGGCTGCTAACCAAAAGATCAGTGGTTCAAACCCACAAGTCGCTCCTCAGAAACCCTATACAGGGTTACTATGAGTCAATACCTACTCCACGGCACTAAACAACAACATAAGAAGTCAAACAATCCAAACATGGACGGGTATTCCTGCTTTTTGAAAGTTTGCCTGATGCCACTTCACTTTTATGAAAAGACCTACATTACTACCTTACTTTGACTGACAAAAAGAATCCGAAGATTTTCATTTTAGGGGAAAAGGAGACAAAACTAATGTCCAGTGTTTGTTTTGCAACAAGCCATTAAAGAGGCAGCTGGCACCCTGAGCAGTAGTACTTACGTCACCAAGCTTCTTTCTCCAGGAACTGCACACAATGTCAAGATGCCATCACTTTGAACTGTGTCTGTGAACACTATATGTTAGTGTGAGTTTAGGTTTCATGTGATATTTGGTAGGTTATATTTTGGGTGGAACACTCAAAAATTTCTCCCACATAAATGAACGGTAGTTGCATCTTTGCTTTACAGTATTTTGGCTTATAAAAGTTTTCATAGGAACGTTCTACTTTCGAATAGTGGGGGAAACCTATAAAAAGGAAAAGTTCATGTTCCTCCTCACCCCCTATATTCCCACCTTTTGGGGATTACCAGTATTAACAGACAACCCTCTGTGGACTTACCTACATTTTCCATGTTCATATGATTAGCAACCCAGTGCTTATCCTACAGCGCCACACCAGAACATGGTATATAACCTTATAAGTGAGATTTCTACAGTAATGAACTCCAAGGGAGAAGGATGAAGCTGTCTGCTCCTGTAAAGATTTACAGTCTTGGAAAACCTACAAAGAGTCACTATGAGTCAGAATCGCCTCAGTAGCACTGGGGTTGGTTTTGGTTTTAGATTTTTATTGTCAGATTTCTTTGCAGAACAATTGTTAGATGCCGTCAAGTTGGCTCAGATTCATAGTGACCCTGTTTAGGGTTTCTGAGGAGTGGCTGGTGGGTTTTGAACCGTCAGCCTGTGGTTTAGCAGTCCAGAGGTTATCCTACAGTATGAAACAGATTGAGTGTCCTCAATTCTGGACAGTACTGCATTTTAAGGCTTTAATTTTTTTTGCTGTTCTGATAAGATGGCATCTCATTTCTTAAATTTGCTTTGTTTTGACTATTGTGAGGCTGAACAGATTTTCATCTATAAAGTATGCTGATCTCGTCTATGAATTTTCAGTACATTTTTGCCCATTTGTACCTGTGTTAGTCTTATCTTTAGTAGTTTTGCAAATGCTCTTCATTTATTACAGATATTCACCCTCTGTAAGGGGCTATGCATGTTTTTCTCCATCTGTTACTTGGGTTATGTAATTTATCATATAGACATTTAAACTTTTCATATACAAAGTAGACCCATCTTTTTCTTTTTGACTTTTGACTTTTTGTCATAATTTGACATTTTGATGTCTTATTCACATAGTGTATTTTAATTTGTAGGTAAAAGTTTCATTTGATCTGAACACTATTCAAATAAAGTACCTGGATGAGGAAAATGAAGAGGTAAGGGATATTATGGTACTCGCTGCCAGCCCTCCAGAACAGGGATCTTACCTTTCAAGAGTGATTGATGTGTGGGGCTCAGAATGTTCAGAATAGTGTTCATCTCATTGGTGCGGTGATTTAAATGCATTTGGTAATTGCATGTTCTGAGCAGAGTAGTGGCACCTGTGATGGAGTTGAGACCTAGGGAAGTAATAATGAAGAAGAAAATCTGAGAAATAACTAAAAAATAACATCATGTTTTTAAGTTTAAATATAGTGTAAGATTCCATTTAGGATATTATATAGAATTAATAACCTTTGTTAAGTGGCTACAACATGTCAGACTAACACCACCACTATGTGTGAGTTACATTATTCTCATCATTGCTGTTTTACCCATGAGGAAACTGAGGCACAGAGAAGTGAAGTAACTTGCCCTAAAGTACATAGTTTAGAAATAGTGGAGTAACAGTTTAATCCGTACCCTCTGACCCCAGAGCCCAGGCTCCTAACCACTCTATTATGTTGTCTATTAATATGACTGAAATAAAGGAAGGCACAGGAGTTAAGCAATAAAATTCTTTAATTATTATTGATGTCTGGCTTGTGATACTGGAACAGCTGAACCCCAGGCTTGAGATTTTGTGTCTATTCCGTGTGGTTTGTTTAGTTCTTGTCTTACAACTGATTGATGAGATGCTTCTAATTCGCTTCACTTTTTCCCTTTAAAGGTATCCATCAACAGTCAAGGTGAGTTTCTGGATAACTGTTTTACTTTTATTGAAAAACTGGGCTTATGCATTTCCAAACTTTTTGACAATATGTTGTTGTTGTTGTTGTTGTTAAGTGCCGTTGAGTTGATTCCGACCCATAGCGACCCTGTATAGGGTTTCCAAGAAGCAGCCGGTGAGCTTGAACCACCAACCTTGTAGTTTCAACCGACTGCAGTCTGACGCATTAGCCCACAGCACCACACCAGGACTCCTTTTAACAAACAATATAAGGAGCTTTAAAACGTTTGTGGGGAAAATAGCGTCAAAAGATAATGGAATTCCTCGGTGCACTTTCTAATTCTAAGCCCCCTCAAATTCATTTTAGATTAGAATTGCATATGCAGTAAAATGACACTACATTCATTCATCCACAGGCATTAATGACATCAGGGTTTTTTCTTATATAGTAGCCTTTTATACTAGGGTGATGAACTTGAATAGATCCTAAGGACCGCTTTAATGAGAGCTTCTCTTCATAGTTAAGATGCTGCTACACTGAAAATCATAATGCTTCCCAGTTTGACACACATAACGTGCTCTGATGTTGTATATGTTCCTGACTTCTACATATGTTGGTGTCAACTTATAAACATAGTAACACTATCCATGAACTCCCTGGAGTCCTGAGCTTCAGTAAGCCTCCTATGAGGGAGTGGGGTTGAATTTTATAACTGGAGGGATACCAGTAACAAAGAAAGGAATTTAAAGCAAAGAAGTGTTCTGTAATAGCTTATGCTTGTGATGGGATGAGAGGAGAGTTTTTCAGCAAAGAGGTAGTAGTGGGTCATGTATTAAGAATGTTAAAGATTGTAAAGTCTTGGTTGCCTATACGTACTAGAATCTTTTTAGGCTGGTGAGGAAATATCACAATGTTTATTCTTTGTCCTTTTAGGGGAATATGAAGAAGCCCTTAAGGTAATGGTTATTTAGTCTCATTTTCCAAGTAATTTTGTTTGTGTTAACTGACTAAAACTCACACCTGAATTCCAGTAGGCTGGCAGTGGAAGTAATGAATATAAACATAGTGAAATTTATTTTTAGGGAGATTCAAATGAGTAGGGCATGCCATCCAGCAAAAGGAAGCGCCTGGTACAAAAGGTTCTTTCCAGTTATCTTCCCATCTGGTCTCAGTGCCACCATCCAAGTGTTTAAAAAATACAGCAAGCACTCTGATAGGATGCTTTCTGGTTCATGCTTGTCATTTTCTCTAGTCATGGTATTCTCTATGGGATGTTGCAATGAAATATGGGAGAATTTAGAGTTTAAACCATAGATATGCATACAATCTCTTATTATAAATTAGTTATACCGAATTCCTTGAGGTCATTTATTCTTGCTGGTATACCAGTCTATCTTTTCATTACCACTTTGGTGATTAAGGTTTTTCTTTAAGGTTTGATGATCTTTTAATGAGCTTTTAGTAAGGAGCTCTAGTAGCATAGTGGTTACGAATAGGACTGTTAACCTGAAGGTCAGCGGTTTGAAACTACCAGCTGTTCCACAAGAGAAAGATGAGGCTTTCTGCTCCTGTAAAGATTTACAGCCTCAGAAACTCTGAACAGGGTTGCTATGAGTCGGAACCGACTCTGTGGCACATAACCACAACAACAACAGTCCAAGACTAAGCTATTTTTCGTAATCATTTTTATTCTACGGAGGGAAAGGCAAGATATTTTTCTAACTGGGATTGGGTCTACCCTTTTTCGCTGCTGGCAGTGGGACCAGTGTCTTATAGCATTTTTCTCAAGTTGTTGTTAAGTGCTTGTGAGTCAATTTTGACTCATAGTGACCCTGTTTCCAAGGAGTGACAGGTGGTTTGAACCATTATCCTTGCAGTTAGTAGTCCAGTGCTTATCCTGCAAGTACCATGCCAGGACTCCTTTTTCTCATTGGCATCTTTATTTATTGGCATCACACTTTGCTTTGGATATTCAGACCTTTCTTTGGTTTTCCTTAGTTGAAATACTCATCTCTATACATAACTTCTCATTTCTGGTGGGGTTTTTTCTTAGCTTCAATTTTCTTGTGATTTTCTTATTTCATCGCTTCTTTTAAGCTATTCTAACATGCTGGTCTCCTGCCCTCTTCATTCTTATCCTGCTTTTCCTGGCTTTTTTCTTTTCCTATTTCAGAAACTAGAGTAGTTTCAAGTCTTCTAAGGAGCTCTGGTGTGGAACTAGATAAACACTGGACTACAAACTGCGAGGTCAGCAGTTCAAAACCACCAGGTGCTCCTTGGAAGCCCTGGAGTCAGAACCGACTCGACAGCACTTAACAACAAGGTTTTCTAACTTTTCTACCTTTCCCACAGCCTCTGTTAGCTTACCTAATCATGCCAGGAAGCTCAGTCCAAGTAAGCCTGTCTTGCCCTGGAAAGCAAGAATATATTTTGATATATTTCATTACAATCTTTTCTTGAGCAGTTTTCCCCACAGGCCCTCCAAAACATTTTATTAAAAGTTTCTTGGTTAACAAACTTCAGCCTGTCTTGTAAATAAAATTTCATTGGAACATCGCCTTGCCATTCATTTATGTGACTTCTGTGTGCCACAACAGCAGAGTTGGATAGTTGGGACTGAAGCCGTATGGCCTCCAAGCCTAAAATATTTGCTATGTGTCCCTTTAAGAAAACATTGGCTGACTCCTGGGCTAGAACTATAGCTTTCAAACTCTTTGGCCATTACAATGCTGTCTGTAAGTGTGTAAAAGATGAAAGAAGAGCTGCTCTGGTTAGCAGTTGAAAGCACTAGGACCCTTCAGAGTAGTCCCTGCAGTCTAGACCCAGAGGTATCCTCATGTAACTCCCAATGCCCCTTAAAGTATCGTGTTCAAATTGGTTTCATGCACTTCAAGCATGTTTTCCAAAATACTGTTCTTAGTGAAAAAGTAAACAATTACAGAACTTGGTTTTAAATCTCTTGAGTTCTGTTAGCATGAGATTGATTTTTTTTTTTTTTCTACAAAATTGAGATTCGAGTTCCTAGATATGAATCTTATATAAAACTCATTACACAGGAACATTGTAAGCCAGCTATTTCACATGAAACATTGCATCTAATCAATTATTACACTATGAACTTTCATTTGTGTTGTTTTTTGTTAACAAAACCGTTCCTAATGAAAATTCTTGGCAAAGTATAGCAGCACATTGTATGTGTTATTTGATAAAACAAATACAAATCCTGACATTGTCCCATGTTATTGCTTATACTCTTCTGTTGATGTGTTTTTTGAAATTCCATTTGGGAAAGGAGACTCGCAAGATAATTTTGTTTTATAATGTATGCTCTCAGATGGCAGTTAAGCAGGGAAACCAACTGCAGATGGAAGTCCATGAAGGCTGTTACATTATGGATAAAGGCCCAACCCCAGTTGTATCAGAAAAACAACTAGCTTCCAGGGCAGGCAAGAAGCCACTTGCGCATTATTCTTCCCTGGTGAGAATCTTGGGTTCAGACAAGAGGCCCACAGTGGAGAGTGCTGCACAGGTATGAAGGGAAGGGATCTGTCTTTACAATTTTATTAACCTTATGTTTTCTCGTCTTTGCACATGGACATTCATCAAAGATTTGGGGGACATCGTGATCTTTCTCCATCTCTGATTGAAATTGGTAGCAGTGCTTGCTTCTAGAAAAGGGGAGTGAGTGGGATAGAGATTTTATTTTCAATACTTCATCATGCTCTTGGGTGGGGTTTAGGTTTTATTTTGTTTTGTTTGATCATATGCTTATGTTACTTTACAAAAGATAGCTCAAAATAAAATATTTTGGGGAAAGTATTTTAAATGGAAGCAAAGTAACTGCCAAGACTTTAGACTGTGTTTTCTTGCAGCAGTTTCCACTTGCTCCATGTGATGCAGACCAGCCTCAAGACAAGCCCCCAGACTGGTTCACAAACTACTTGGAGACAGTGAGTGTTTCCCCTTGCTTGGGATTTAACAGCATTGTTGACACAGGTAGAATGTGGAGGAATAGAAAGCCAAGCCCAAATGCACAGGTATGAAGAGTTGTAGCTGATATTGTTTTATCTAGAGCAGTTCCATGGAAAAACGCCTTTAACTTTTACAGTGAGGTACCCAGAAAAAGGAGGAATCTAATTCTAAGAATATTCAAGAAAGGAGGACAAATCTCTGCTTAAGAAGAAAAAATTGGAAGAAATATGCTCATTGAAAATATGTCTTATTGTTATCTCTGAATCAGGTTAGCTGAAGGAATAGACCTTTTGCTCCATTTTTGTCCATTCACTCAGTAGCTATTAGCTATTTATTGTTCTGGTGTGGCACTGTGGGATAAAGCACTAGACCACAAGGTCAGTTTGAACTACAAGGTCAGCGGTTCAGACTCACCAGCAATGCCTTGGAAACCCTATACTACAGGGTCGATGTGAGTCGGAACCGACTCAGTGGCACTTAACAACAAATATACTAGAGATTGTGAGGTTTCAGGTCTCATTGGTATCTTCATATCTTTTTCCAGTATTGGAACTGAATTTTTCCCCACCTTCTGCTCTGTATCTAGTTCAGAGAGCAAGTGGTTAAAGAAACAGTTGAGAAGCTTGAACAGAAATTACACGAGAAGCTTGTACTCCAAAGCCCATCCTTGGGTTCCTGTCCCTCAGAAGTCTCAATGCCTATTTCAGATGAAACACTGTTTTTGCCAGAAAACCAGTTCAACTGGCATATTGCTTGCAGCAGCTGCCAAAGAAGAATCCTTGGTGTGCGCTACCAGTGCAGGTAAGCAATAACTTAGAGATAGTTGTCTTTGGTCACAAGCTTGCTGGCATTCTATATGGGTGAAAGAAATTGGATGTATTTTATCTCTGAACATTAGATGTAGTAGCACTGACTGGGAGATACAAATTGCTCTTCACTCATTTGCTTTCTGGTTTCAGAGTTAAGTATTCAAATTGTTGTGTTCAGGTATGCACACTTGGATTAATAGGCAGAAGTATGTTCTCCAAAACAAAGCTAGATTACCAGAGGTTGTCTCCCTGTTCTAAATACAGTCATATCTTACTGCATCCTATAGATTTCTCTTTGAAATAGATACAAGTTAAATGTTATTATCCCCACTTTATTAATGAGGAAAACTGAGACATGACATGGTCAGATGACACGCTCAGGTTACCAGCTAGCTGGCAATAGAGCCAATACGGAGGTCTAGTCTCCTGTCTGTCTACCTCGGATACTTCCCACTGTGTCATTCTTTCCTTCACAGCCTGTGCCCATCCTATAATATATGTGAAGATTGTGAGGCAGGGCCATATGCCCATGACACTAACCACATCCTGCTGAAATTGCGGAGACCTGTTGTAGGACCCTCTGAACCATTGTGTCACTCAAAGTTCTCCACTCCTCGTCTACCTGCCGCTTTGGAACAAGTCAGGTAAAACATAGCTCTCTGCTTTCCTGGTTCTGGTGAGAGGGTATGAGTCACAAAACTATAGCTCATGTCTATAGTTCCTGCGTAGTTTCAACTGATGTGCACTAATGAAGACAATTATCCAAAGCTAATGAAATGGAAATGGTAGCTAGAGAATGAAATTAAGAAATGAAACTAGAATCTCATGCTCATGAAGACTGCATGCAATTGGCTCAAAGTACCTTCAAAGCTAGGATGTGAGGTATATTTTATTTACGACTTTATCTTATAGGCTCCAGAAACAGGTTGACAAGAACTTCCTTAAAGCAGAAAAGCAAAGGTTGCGAGCGGAGAAGAAACAGCGTAAGGCAGAGGTCAAGGAACTTAAAAAGCAGCTGAAACTCCACAGGAAGATCCATCTGTGGAATTCTATCCATGGACTTCAGAGCCCCAAGTCTCCTTTGGGCCGACCCGAGAGTTTGCTGCAGTCTAACACCCTGATGTAAGCCTCAGGCCCAAAACGGACCGTTAGTTAACTCATGTCTCATCTATTCAAACTCCTAACACCCAAATCCTTGCAACTTCTTGTTGTTTGATCCTAGCTTTATTAACCAGTGGTTTCGTTGTTAGCATTTGGGCTTCTTTACTAGGCTTTTGTTTTTCATCTTTATTTTCTTAATTTTAGGTTTACAGAAAATTGTGCTGCTGAAAGTATAGGATTTCCACATACACACATTGTTTCTCCTATAATCTTGCATTCCTGTGGTACATTTGTTAAAATTAAGGAATCAGTACTGGTACACTATTATCAATTTCTGGAGTTTCTATTAGGGCTTACTCTGTTGTACAGCCCTATGGGTTTTGACAGGTGCTGATATCATGTGTCCACTATTACAGTATCATACAAAATAGTTTTACTGCCCTAAATATTCCTACGCCATACCTGTTCATGGAGTCCTGGTGTGGCTCTGTGGGTTAATGTGCTGGACTGCAAAGTCATTTGAATCACAAGGTTGGCAGTTCAAGGTCACCAGTCACTCCTTGGAAACCCTATATAGAGTTGCTGTTGGTCAGAACTGACTCAGCGGCACCTAACAATGACAGCATTCCTGATCATCCCTTCTTCCCCCTGAACCTCTGGCAGCCATGTCCCATTTTACTGTCACTCCTGGTGTGGTGTGCTGCTGTGTACTGCAAGGTTGGCGCTTCAAACCCACCAGCTTTGCATCAGAATCTCTTCACAGGGTCGCTATGCGTTGGAACTGATTTTGTGGCACTTGACAACTCTAGCTTTGCTTGTCTGTCTTTTTTTTTTAACATGTTGTTAGGCCTCTTCTCCCAGGAGTTCCCACCCACTGTCCCAAGTATGGTGATTTCTTTCTTGTTTTTTTTTTTAAGTTTTTATTGTGAATTGAGTAATAATTTACATGGGAGAAATCGGTTATACACTCATTTCATTGCAATGATTACAGTCTTCTCCGTGCATCATCATTCAACAGTATTTGCTTCTAGTCCCTGTTTTTTATGGGTTTTTTTGATGTACACAAAAACACTCAGGAATATATAATCATTTAAACAACCAAAGGGCACATTGTGCGGGTCTGCCTCCTGGCTGCCAGCACACAGCCTTGCTCTTTCTATGAATCTAGAGTCAGTTGTTATAGCTTTCCATGTCCTCATCTCTTTGCCTGTCTCTTTCACATTGGCACATTTTAGGATTTGTTAAGTACATTCCCAGGCAGGTGTTGTTGTTATGCTGTTTAATAACTTTTTTATTGTAAATTGAGTTGTAGGTTTACAGACAAGATATCAACTTTACATAAGTTTTCGTGTTACTTGGGTACTTAGGAGCACTTTTGCTGGATGGGAGTTAGATGTGACCCTTGCTTTGCTGCCTTCTTTAGAAAGATAAAAAACCTGAAAGGTTCAGAGCTGGGCTTGTTAAGACCTTTCTTCACTGGAAGCAGTCTATACTGGAAGCCAATTAACAAATACTTTCAGAGTTTAACTCTAAAAGGAGCTCCATTTATGGATTGTCTCAGATATCCTCACCACAGCATCTTAGTTCTGGATTCAAACCCCTGATTCAAAAATATTTTTATTAGTCTTATTTATAAGAAAATGCAGACAGACATTCTTGGTATCTTAAGGAGTCACTGCCAGCTGCTCAGACCACAGCGGTTTATGTGTACAAGGCCTGTCACCTGGCGGCAGGTGACAAATGATGGATTTCTGTGCAGGCTCCCTTTGCAGCCCTGTGCTCCAGTTATGCCAACCCTCAGTGCGGCGTTTGTGGATGAGAACTTGCCTGATGGGACCCACCTTCAACCAGGAACCCAGTTTATCAAACATTGGAGGATGAAGAATACAGGAAATGTAAAATGGAGCGCAGACACAAAGGTATTCATTCCCACAGAACCTGAAGAGGATACGATATGGAGGGTAAGGTACTCAGCTGACGAACTGTCTTTGTCTTGTCACTGTCCTTTTTCAGCTCAAGTTCATGTGGGGAAACCTGACTTTGGCTTCTACAGAAAAGAAGGATGTTTTGGTTCCCGGCCTGAAAGCTGGCCATGTGGGAGTTGTGTCTGTGGAGTTCATTGCCCCAACCTTGGAGGGAACGTACACTTCCCATTGGCGTCTTTCTCATAAGGGCCAGCAGTTTGGGCCTCGAGTCTGGTGCAGTATCATAGTGGATCCTTTCCCCTCCACCGAGAGCCCTGGTCACAATGAAAAGGGCCTGATCAGCTCAAGCGAAACAAATGATCTCAACTGCCAGCGAGAGGTGAGCGTGCATGGGCTTTGGCCAGTATCCCAAATAGACCGAGAGAAAGAGTGAGTGAACGAAAAGAGTCTATTCACAGCCGTTCATCTGCTCAGAACTCATGAAAGCCTAGGCCTCGCTTCCCCCACCACATTTATTTGTTGAAATCTGGTCTAGTCCTCAAGGGTTTTGTTGAGTGTGCAGAACATCTTGGGGCAGGCTGTCTCTAGTGCATTTCTGTCCCCACAGTGATGCGTGGCCAATGTCTTTGCTGCTCAATGGAAAGAAGGGCTGCCTGGCCTGGCCTGGCCTAGCCTATGGAACTAGTGGAACTAGCTTTTATTCCTTAGCATTCTCCCTGAAGTATCCCTTGTGTATGTTCCCTAAATATTAATCAACCTTACCTTGTTACTCTGTGTGCAGTTTTTTTAGACAACTTCAATTAGTGGTTGTACTTTTAGATTGATAACAGCTTAATTTTAGGAGTAATCACTAGTAGTGTTGTTGTTAAGTGCTGTCGAGTCTATTTCGACTCATAGTGACCCTGTGTAGGGTTTCCGAGGAGAGCAGCTGGTGGGTTTCAACTGCATACTTTATGGTTTGCAGTCCAGTGCTGATCCTACAGCAAAACACCGAAAGTCCAATCACTAACAGTGCTATATATATAACTAAGGAAATGTTAGGTGATGAGTACAGCAGGACAGCTCACACACAGACTTCCTCCTCCTACAAAAGCAATATATGTTTGTGGTAGAAGTGCCAAAACATGAAGGGGGGGAGAAAGAAAGGACCAGTGGTAATACCCGGTTTTAAGTCTAAAATTATATCAAAACAATACATTTTTTTAAACTGTAGCGATACAGCAATGTTTTGTTTTGTTTTTTAGGGAGGCTCATCAGCTCGTTGAGGGCCTAAAATCTGTCCTGATGATTTGTCTCTATAGGAAACTTTTCTTCTGGCCAAAGAAGCAATCCAGCTAGGTGGAGTGACTGAGCAGACAGAAGGAACAGGAACATGCATCCCTCAGAAGATAAACAAGGTTGCCAGTGAGAGGGAACTCTACATCCCATCTGTGGACCTTCTGACAGCCCAGGTGGAAGATTCAACCCTTTGAGAGGCGAGGGATGGAGAGTACGGGGAGAGTGTTTATCAGGTTGACAAAAGGGTGGCAGCCTTGAGTGGCACCAGGACAGTCTTTATGGCCACTTTGATCCAGTCAGAAACATTAGTGGCAAAGGAGCTCACCCATGGAAATAACAGCTCTTAAACTAAGTGTTTTGACCTCCTGTGCTTCTCTTTAGTTGCCTTTCTTGCCTGCTGTTTGGTTATTTGAACATTTAGATCCCATTTAACACTCCTTTTCACTTGGCTGATATGAGGCATGCATTTGAATAATGCTGAATCTGACTACTGTAGTCCTTCGTGGCCTGTAAGTCCTTTGAGGCAGAACGGTCCTATTGTGCCCCATAGCAGCCGGACATCGCTTGTCTCTTTTTCCAGGACCTGTTATCCTTTGAGCTGTTGGATATAAACATTGTCCAAGAGTTGGAGAGAGTGCCCCACAACACCCCCGTGGGTAAGAATGTTAATAGATTCCCCTTGTCTATTTTGTTATTTGATTCGAAACTACTGCAGCCTGGACTCTGGTAGTTAGTGTTGTATCCTCTGTACAATGTAATATTGAGGCTGCACCCACAGGTCCAGTTTTCATCTTTCCCCATCCCCTCATATGTGAGACTTCCTCACTGTAAGGGGACGCTCTTCTCCATTTTTCCTTGAGGTTTTGTGTCCCTTACCCCTTTCCATTCATGGTTCTATAACTTGGCCTTGACCTTCCAGGCCAGACAATTATTTATGATCCATCCTATGTTAATTAGTCTGTCTGAGATACGTGGATAGCTGATGTTTGGGAGAAACTCTACAACAGGCCTTCAAGTCCATCCCTGGGTTTACTTCTGCCTCACAGGAGGCAAGAAGCCTGGAAAGTGCTGCTTTGGGACCATGACTGTTAATGTGATGCTTTTTCCTGTTGATGGTTTTCCTGTCTTCATTCTCCAGATATGACTCCCTGCATGTCTCCTCTGCCACATGACAGCCCTTTAATAGAGAAGCCAGGCTTGGGGCAGATACAGGAAGAGAGTGAAGGGGCGGGATTTAAAGCACTTCCTGGTAAGGGATTAAGTCTTTGTGAAGCACTCACATCCTCCTTTTCCAGACTATACCCTATTTTTACACTTCCCTCCTACTAACCTGACCTGACCTTGGTGTGTGGCTGGGTTTCTGTGGCATCTCATTTTTCAGAGGCCATGTCTTCAGGTGGCACATCTAGCAGCTGTTCTTTGGCGCACAGCATGACAGGAGATGACTGACGATGGCGATGGCACCTTAATGTTTCACTTCATCTCTTCCAGATTCCACAGCATCCTGGAAGAGTAAGGTGGAGAACACTCCTGCAGTGGAGGAAGCAGAAGACGACCTGAGCGGGACGCAGTTTGTGTGTGAGACTGTGATCCGATCCCTTACTTTGGATGCTGCTCCTGATCACAACCCACCTTGCCGACAGAAGTCCCTGCAGAGTGAGTGTCCCCCATCTAGTAGGGTGGCACCCGAATATGGCTGCCAAACATGGTTACTGAGAGAGGTGCTCTTCCCTGGGAGTGAAGGAATTTCTGGTCTCAGTTGTTGCTCATGCACTCTCCATAATTTTAATTAGAGCTTTAGGAACTGAGAAATCACCGGGCCTCCTTTTTGCACTTTCTTGGGGCAAAATTAGAACTGCATTCCGCAGCATTTCCAAGCTGCCTGGCCTTGGGCAGTGAGGGGCCTTCCTGTAAACTAGCAGAGAGCCCATTGGCAGCTGAGCTGTCAGCTTTCTCCTAGGACAAAAGTCCAGGAAACAGTGGTAGAGGCAGGAGTCTCCCAAGGTTAAATTCTGCTGTAAGAAAACTTCTAGGTAGCAGATGTTGCTAAGTGACGTTGAGTCAGTTTTGACTCAGCGACCCTGTATAGTGTTTCCAAGGAGCAACTGTTTGTGAGTTTGAACTGTCAACCTTACAGTTCAGGGCGACCGTGCGGCCAGTACTTATCCTTCTGCACTACACCAGGACTCCAGTATCATAGGTAGAGCCAATACTATGTTTTCAAGAGCGAAAAATTCAGATTCTAGTGTATCAAAATAAAATGTAAAATTCTGAGTTTATTTGAATGAAATTTGACTTGTGCTTTTAAATATTTGATTTCTCTCACTTTTTTGGTTTAAAATATATGTATGTACAAATGCCTAACACTAAAGTCTGGAAGAGTTTAGACCAAAATGTTCACAGTGGTGACTTGTGATGAGACTATAAGGCCGGTTTTTATTTTTTATCAGTTTGTTTGGAATCTTGTCTCAGTTACAGTAACCATCATAGGAAGGGGAAAATGGAGGAATCCTCACGTTTAATATTCATGGTACTTCTCTGAAGCCTGGGTGTTTCTGTGAACTTTGGGCTTACTCAGTTTTCCTGGGCTTCAAACTGGGACCATGGCCATCATTCCAGCAACAAACTTTCCCTTTGGGTCTTCCCTCTGCTTTGGCATTCAGAATCTAGCCTGTGGCCCACAAGGCTTTACCATTTAAGGGTAGCACCAGAGACTGCTTTTATCTTCTCTTTAAAATTGGCTGCTTTCCTCCTGTAGGGAGATCTGCCGTATCTGAAGGAGAGGGACCACTTGGTGATGAGAGAGAGGAGATTGTCCATGTCGCAGAAGAAGAATGTGTTGAGGAGGAAGAGGAGCTCAAAGACGAAGTGCAGAGTCAGTCTTCTGCTTCTTCAGAGGATTACATCATCATCCTGCCTGAGTGCTTTGATACCAGCCGCCCATTAGGGGACTCCATGTACAGCTCTGCCCTCTCTCAGCCCGGCCTGGAGCGAGGGGCTGAAGGCGAGCCCGCAGTTGAGGCTGGACAGGAACCAGCTGAAGCTGGCGAGAGACTCCCTGGAGGGGACAACCCACCACAGGGGCAGAGCATCAATGACATCCTTATGACCTCACAGACTCTGGAAGCTGTGCCCCTAATACCAGAGGTGGTGGGGCCTCCATCTCCACTGTCCAGGTATCATCCACACCCTCCTCAGCTGGGCTGTTCTTCAGAGGTGGAGTAAAGAGTGAGAGGAATCAACTTGATCTCAAATCCTGTTTCTTCAGTCTGAGAAGACTGTTTTCCTTAGGAAAGCCTGAATTTAGATGAATAATAGTTGTTGTTCTCAGCTTTTGTGAACTCCGGATTTAAAGAATTGCTAGTTGTAGTCAACTGTAATTATCTAATCATTTGTGTATAATCAACTTAAATTTTGCTTCCTTAAAGCCATTTTTTTAAAACATAAAAATCCCTGTACCTCTCCTCCTTGTTCTAGTGATTCATAAGCAAAGGCAACAAAAATGCATTCTTATATTAGTCCCCAAAATTCCTAAGCATAATTAGGAATTTAAAGTCATTATTGTGGTGGGGAGTACTCTGAAATCAAATAAATTATTGGTAATTCTCTACAGAGCTATTTGGATCATTGCTCATACAGTGTGGAAACTGCTGGAGGCTTGACTATAGTTTAAATTGTTTAAGTTGTTCTCCTGGTGAGCTTGGCATTATGTCAGCACCACTTAGTGTAGAGTAAGCCAGACTGAAGCTAGTCTTTCTAGCTTGACTATGGCCAGAGAGGAAAAGAAGTAGAATGCAGCCCTTTGACCCAATCTCTAAATATAGGCATGTGAGCTGGATCCCAAATGTGAAGTGTATGTAGAGTATTTGGCACTGTTGCGCTGTGTTTACTGTTTCTCCACCGTTACCACTGGTACTGTGTCAACTCTGAATATTGTGTCTTTCTGAAAGGAGCCCTCCTTGTGTACAGCAGCATGGTTCCCCAGGAGTGGATTTACCAGTTACCAGGCCAGAAGTTTCTTCAGTCCCTGATCAGATCAGAGGAGGTAATGACCAATCTGGGTTTTATTGCTTTTTCTCCGCTCCTTTCTAATGGCTACCAGCCGTTACATAGGCTGTCTGACTCTTGGCAGTTTTTAGGAGCTTGCCTTTTCAGTCTTCTGTGCTCCTCCCTCACACTCTTCTTTCTGTTCTCTAGCTTAGTATTAAATGGGACATTAGAGAGGTAGGCATTGTGCTGTACTGCAAAGAACGCACGTCTTAGAGCCAGACAAGTCTAGGTTCCAACCCAGCTCCACCTTTCCTCCCTTGTGATCTGGCAGCCATTGAACAGGTGTCAGACACCTGTAGGTCTGGTTCCTCTCTGGCAAAATTAAGAGAGTAACCTTGTGAAGTTGTGCGTAGACCTTCAAAGTCACTTCCTTTTCTCTTCCTGCCTCAAAATAAAACCTGAAAGTTTTTACAAATTAATAAATCAGTATGCTAGTATTGTAGAATTTGTTTTTCAGATTCAGTAAGCTCTTGCCTTACATTCCGTTTTGAACAATTCCTCATCACTTACTTAAACCATCCCCCACAAAATTTCCCAATAAGAAAAATTTCAGAATAAGAAAAAGAACTTCAAACTCTGCTATCAGAATGCTACTTGCTACAAAACTCAGCTTTGCTGGGAGTTAGGGAAGACTAGGTGCTTGTGGATACTGCATCTAACCAACAGCTCTTTTGCTTTTAGAGCCCAGAGGCTCATCAGGACTTGTAAACAGCAGACAGAAGAGCTATGACCACTCAAGGTAACTGGACCTTGTGCAGTCTCTTCTCCAGAAGCAGGTGGAGATGCTACTATTGCTTCTGCTTAAAGAGCTCTGGAGAGCAGGGAAGGAGAGCCAGAGTTTATGCTTGTTCTCATCTCCTACAGCTTTGGAGCAGCACAAAGCAAAGGGCCAAAGCAGATGCTCAAGGGTGTTCCCATCCCTGAGTCTCAAGTGCCCTCACCCTTGGTGCCGAGAAGGCAGGAAGGGCAAGCCCAGTGTGCATCTTAGTAACTTTTTTCTTAGCTACACCTGTCTTCCTGCTCACCTCAGAGCAGTGCAGATGAGGTCTTCCTGACAGAATACGGGAAATCCTGTTTTCTCTGGGAGGTGTTTCCTCTGAGACTGGGGAGAGATGGACTGCTGGTACCCCAGTGTATCCTTGACCATGGTATGTGTTTCAGCTAGGACTGAAAGCTGACATGCTACTCAAAGTGGTAGGGGCGTCTTTGTTTTTGCAGTGCCCGCCCATATCTTTCAGCAGCAGGACTGGTCCTATATCAAACTCAGATTTGTAGCTCTAAAACAATCAGTCGCATTCTTGCTGTAAATCTAGTGTTTCTCCTAAGGAAATCTCTTTCTTTCGAGGATTCAGTTAGAGCCCATATTGCCTTGTAGGAAGGCCCTGGTTCATTTGCTGAGGGAGATGATTTGGTTTCCTCCACAGGCACCACCCAGGGAACAGCATTGCAGGAGGACTAGTGAAAGGGGCTTTGTCTGTTGCTGCCTCTGCATACAAGGTCCTGTTTGCTGGCCCACCAGTCACTGCACAGGTCAGCGTGAATTTTATTTTCCTGAACCAAACCTGGTGATGAATGAAAACAGTGGCGTTGGAGTCCAAGAGTAGCATGGTATATGGAAAGAACATGGGCTTTAGATTTAGTCTTTGGTTCGTGCACAACTCCACCAAATTATCAAGTTATGACTGACCAAGTTACTTAAGAGAGGAAAGGGAAAGGACCTAATGTTTGCTGAAGACCTACTGTGTGTGAGGAGCTACTCCAGACTCAGACTGTAAGATGAAAAGATACTAGGTCCCCCTAAAGCTTGGGAAATGCCAGGTAAAGAGACATTTACAGTACTGAGTAAGATCTGTACTGGTGCTGTCAGACAAATAGAGCACCTCACTAGGTTGCTGGGGCCCGAGGAAGGCTTCTGAATGGTGGTGGTACCGGAACTGAGTCCTGAAGGGCAAAGTAAGTGTTGGCCAGGAAAGAGGGAGAGAGAAGCTAGAAAAAAAAAGTCTTGGAAGTGTAAGAGAGCAAGTTGTATTTGGGGAACAGGACCAGTTAGTCTGAGAAAAGAGATAAGACGAGAAAAGATCAGATGTGTAGACAGGAAACAGATCATCATGTTCCTTGTGTACTGTCTTGAGGAGTTTGGGTTGTAAGGCTAATAGGAAAATTAGCCATTCAAGGGTATTAAGGAAGTGATTCTCAAGAAGAACTATAGAAACAATCAACAGGACAAGATCAGATCTGGTCTAGTAAGAGCATTCACTACAGTGAAGATGTTGGCATGAAGCAGGGAAAGCAGTCAGTTTGACAATCCATGTGTTATGTAAGAAGGAAGGATAAAAGAAATAGTGCAAAGGTAGAATTAAGAGAACTTAGAGGCTGTGATTAAATGGCTAAAAGATGTCGAGGATAAATACTAAGTTTCTGGTTTAGGTGATCAATAACAGGATATGCAAGAAGACAGATATATTTGGAAGAGAGGAGAGAGATTTAGATCTGTTTTGGATGGTATTAACTATTAGGTATTCGTGTCATATCCAAGTAATGATATTCAGAATGCAGTTAGGCAAAAAAAATCTGGAGCCACAGGGCAGAGATTTGGCCTGGAGACGAAATTTGGGAGTTGCTCGCATGCAAGTTATAGAAGGAGCCATGTGAATGGATGCGATCATCCAGGAAGAGCAGACCAGATAAGAAGCAGCCTTTAAAGAATCGAGGGAGGAAGGAGGAGCCTGGAAAGAAGATTAGTTACTAAGGGAAAATGAGGACCATTTTGTGCTGAAACTTAGGGAAGGGAGTTTAATAAAGGAAGATTGGTCAACACTGTCAAATGCTACAGAGAGGTGTGAGTGGGTGGTGAGGAATTTCAAGAGTGCAAATAAATAAGCCCCACTTCTCAAAGAGCTGGACTACAAAGTAAAAGAATATGCTAGTAGTGAAAGCAGTTAAAGATAGAGAAAAGGAAAAACATTTCTGAGATGGGAGAGGTAATGAGATACAAAGCAAAGTTACTGTGGCAGAATTAACCTGGAACAAAAGGACAGCCTATTCTGAAATGAGAGGGAAGAAGGGAACCTGTAAATAAATAGAGAAGGACATGCCAGAGACTGTGTTCAATAACAGTCTCATTGGAATTCTATCAACAACCCTACAAATTCTGTATTTTGTACATCCATTTTCAAAAATACAGGTTTGTCTTCACCAGCTTTCTTGGGCTTAATTTCATTTGACCAAAGAATGCTTCGTTCTAAAAGTCTCCTCTGAAGTATCCTCTTCCTAGTTTTAAGGACAGTTCATGAGTCCCTTAATTTCCTTCCTCCTATCAGCCTAAACATACCTAACCTATAGCAGGGCCTTCCCACTCCTTAGAAGACCTATTTGTACAAGCTAGACTAGATCTTTGCGTTTCGTTACCTACTAGGAAGTGTAGTATGTTTTCACAAGATAAACTTTTAACAGTTTGAAATTTTACAAAATAAGTGCTTAAATTATACAGAAAATGTTCTGTTTTTCTTGTCTGTACACAGCCAGTAGTTTCAGAAGACCAAACAGCAGCTTTGATGGACCGCCTCTTTGAAATGGGATTCTGCGACAGACAGCTGAACCTTAGGCTGCTGAAGAAACATAATTACAACATCCTGCAGGTTGTGACAGATCTCCTTCAGGTCAACAACAATGAGTGGTACAGCCACCGCTACTGAAGAGTTTTCGTGTATTAAAGAATTGCCTGCTGCTCAGAGATGCTCTTTACTATGTTATTGGGGTGTAGGGTAGAAGCCCTTGTTTGTTTTTTAACCTGATGAATATTTATATAACCCATTGAATTATCAAGGCAATACCGCAATACAGTATTTTTGGGAGCCAATTAAAGACCAGAACTTAAATTTTCACTTTAGACACTGGATGAATAGTAGGAAGACCGTTTTTTAAATTGATTGAAGTAAAGCCCCTTTCTCTGTTGTAGTGTATTGAAGAGTATAATTTGAACCTCGTGTAGAACCAGTTTTCTTTCTGCTTGTATTGAACCTAAGTATTTTTGTCTAATTAATGTGGGTGTTTTGTGGGGATATCTATTAATTGTCAATTTTTAAATGAAAGGACCCTTGGAAGAAAGGCTATCAGCTGTTTTCAAGAATTCTTGTAATATAATTTCTCTAGCCCTACCCCAGCCTCATAGCTCTATGGATTAAGATGACACCCAGGACATGACAGAAACATTGCTTCGCTTCCTTTCTCCAGGAGAGTGACTTTTCCTTTCAAAGATTTAATAATACCTTTGCGTTCTAAAGACCAGTTGATGTGTTTAAGATTATCCACTGTTGGGGTCTCTGCATTTCAATGAAAGGAAGGAGGAGTGTGCTAAATAATGAACCCACCAGCACCTATTGCGCTGCATCCCTTGTAGTAATTTTGCTTACATTTTTCTTCTCTTTAAGGAAAAAAATGTTAGGTAGTATATGAAATGTTTTGCTAATCCTGTGGGGAAAGAAAAGAACCCTTCCTTTAATAGGAAAAAGTAAATTTAACTTTTTTTTTCTAAATGTCAGGGCAGATCTTACTTTCCAGCAGAGTGTGGGGGTGAATAGAAACATAATGAAAGGCCTATGTTAATCTCAGTAAACTTCAAGAGTGGGCAAGTGAGTGTGTGTGAGGTGTATCCTGATGGCTTGAGTGTCTGCAGTTGAGTTAAAGGTGTTTGCCCTAGACAGTCAAGAACAGGAAAAGACTGGTCATTTGCAAAACGTGGGCTGAGGGCAAACTCACTGAAAAAGTTTAATTTTAGGATGAGAGAAAGAGCTTGTTTGGAGCCCAAGTCCATACTGTTTACAGAAGAGAATCTTGAGTGCAGTTAATGAAGGAAGAGAAAGGGTAACAACAACAAAAAAAAACCACGCTGATTTATTCATGAAAATGACTTCAAGAAAAGAGAAGAATCCGACCCCCAGCCCTAAGGGGGTAGGATAGTTAAAATAGTATTATTTAATCTGAATGGTGATTTAAATTAATCATTAGCCATAGTGTTTATTTACAGGGTAACTGTTGAATGCTGTTAAATAAAACCAGGATTCACACTGCAAGCCAACCAGGCTGTTCATTATTTAAAAGTTTTTTATGGGGCTTCTGGGTGGAAAACTGAGCGGCAGGGTGTGTCTTTGGGGTGCGTTGAGATCCTTCCGGGCCGGACACGTGTGAACTACTTGAGTCGTGAAGTACAGGTTCCGGAGGGCGGTAGGTCGGTCGTCCACTTCGTGGTACATGTACAGAGCTACTTAAAGAATGATGAATAAAGATCCTTCGAAATTCCTACCTGAACTGGCTGATCCTTGTGGAAGCAGCGTTCACAGCACTGGCTTGCGGCGCCAGAGAGCGTTTGCCAACGCCTGGGTCCAGTGGGCGGGGCGAGGGCGGGGGCGGGGCTCCCCGAGACTTCCACTCAAAGCTCGCGGCCGGGGCTGGGCTTCCGCAGTTTTGATTCAGCTTGCTGTCGTTTCTGTCGGTGTTTCCGGGGGTAAGATGCTCTCGGGACCCTTTTTACCTGTTTTCCCTTTCGGTGGCGAGCACCAAGGGGTCCCTAACCCAACAGAGCCATATGGCTACCAAGCTCAACGGCCTCCCTGGTATTCTGGTGGGACTTGAAATTCCAGTTTTTCTCCCTAACCTCCGAGGAGCGCGCTCAACAACTTTGCTCTCCTCAGAGATAGGTCCCTGGGCCCCGCTCCCTTCAATGTGGACCATTCGCTCCCCCAGGACCCCGCAGAAGTGGGGCTGATTGCGGAGGCAACCCTAGCCTCCGCACAGAGGCCTTTCTCCCCAAACACCCTTGGAGAAAGCTTGCCCTCTTGCAGCCGAGAGGAGCCACAGCTCCCAAACCTGAACCAGGTGAGGCTGTTTAGCCTAGGTTTCAGTGTGGCCCACCTTGTCCTCTGAACCTTTTGGGAAGAGTCTGGATTTAGCCTTAACTCTTTGTCTAGTAAAGGGCAGACCTTGGCATTACTAAGAGCCACCCCAAGTCTTACTTTCCTAAGCAGCCTCAGAGTCCATGAGGAAGACTTCACACACCCTGCCAGAGCTGCAGTTAAGTAGATTCTTTAGCCACACCTCTGACCTATCTCACTCTCCCTGTTTCAAAGGGTCCCTGCTTCCCTACTGAGCCAGCGCCTGCCCAGGCTCAGGAACGGACGTTTTTCTTCCACAGCTGAGAGGCTGAACAAACTGTCCATACTGCTGCCTCCCAGCTCTAGGCAACTTCCTTTAAAGTGAATGAAGGCAACTTTCTCAGGAAAAAGAAAGCTCTGCTATTCACAACGGAAGTTCCCTAATGTGAAATAACTTCTGCTTTTCTTCCTCTTGTAAGCAGACTGAGCTTTCCTACATGAGGAAAAGAGCTGAAATGCATGACAGTTTCTGACCTAAGAGCCCTAGGTAATGGCGCAGTTTTACGTACTTGAACCCCCTTAGTGGGAGGCTCTTTGCCAACCTTGAGAGCTTCAGATTAGCATTACAGTCTGGCAGTGCTGACAAGCTGAGCACCGAACTTGAACTTTGTACTTCTCTTATTAGTGAAAAATCCCTCTGAAGGATGGATGAGACTCTCTCCCAGCTGGACTCTCAGAAGGATGAGAGCAAATTGATCCTGTCTTCGGACCCAGCCATTGACAGCAAAACCACCATCTACTCCAACACTGCAAGCAACACGTTCTTTAGTTCCTGTGTACCTTGTAAAAAGGCTTCTAATAATGGGGGCTTTGTGACTTGTCCCACCTGCCAGGGCAGTGGGGAGATCCCCCGAGGTGAGTAGGCCAAGATTCTGAGCTTGACCCAGGGCCAGACCTCCTGAGTGCTCCTTGAATGAGGTTGGGTCTGCTCCGAGCTCTTGGTCACCTAGTCTCAGGCCAGCCAGGGGAGGCTAATTACTCCCGAGCTTGCTGTGGATTGTATTCGGTTGTATTCCCAGCTAGGACTTCCCGATCACTTTGTTGCAGGAGCCAAGCTCTTTGCCTTAAGAATCAGGAAGTTAAAAATGATCTCTCTAAAGCTGGGTGTCTCCGGAGTTGCTGGTTAACTTTCAGAGGTCCCTTATACTTGTTAATGAAAATCTCACTCCCAGGAAGTAGGATTAAGTGACGTTTCATTGTGGGGAAAGCAATCAATGAGATGAAACAAAACTGATCCGCTCTGTAAACCTTCACCCAATTCACAATGAAAAATTAAAAATCTCACTTCAAGGATAGAGATGGAAAGCTGAGCTGCCTACTTGGGTATGTCCTGCTGTGCGGTGAACCCCATCATTCTGGGAGGAGGGCGGAAGAACAGAGGCAGCAGGCTTCTGACATTACTCTAGGAGATAGATGCATCTTTTTGGGAGACTGGCAACGTTGGTCATGACGGCTTCTTGGTCCTCCCTCTCCCCCTTTTCTCTCTACAGCCCTGGAGAAGCAGTTAGTGGCTCTCATCCCCTACGGGGACCAGAGGCTGAAGCCTAGACACACGTAAGTAAGCCTCTCTCTTTCCCCTTGCTCCCCGCTGGGGGCTGGTCCTCTCTGTCTCTCCTATTCTACTGCCCCTGACTTGTCTTCACTGGTTGTCCCCTAGAGAACCTGAGCTTCACTGGGCTCCAATGTACTAGCTCCTTTCCTGGTTTCCGAAGCCCCACGCACAGCTGACAATGCCTTCCGCCCCTTGGTGTCCTTCCCTGAACATCACTGCTCTGCCTGGCACATGCATAGGACCTCTTGGGGCTGCCAGCCCATCCAAGAAGGAGGGGGCAGCCCTGGCTATACTTGGCTTTGGGCCCATTACTTCTCCTCAGAGCTTCCCTTGCCATGGCAGTTGAAGCCTGCTCATTCTCTTCTTGTAGAAATGGAGAACCAGTTGCTCCCTGTGCTGGGACATGCCAGAGTTTCAGAGGCAGCCTAGGGTTTCACTAGGTGCCCTGTGACTCTGATTTTCATCCAGGTTCATTTGACATGAGTCCTTGCAGCTTCCGTTTCAGCCTGGGAGCTCCCACTCAGCCCTCCCCGATCAGAACCTTTCCTAAGATACTAACCAGGTGCAGTTGCTTCATTGTTGTGGTTATTAAGTTACCTTGAGTCCCTTCTGACTCCAGACACCCCACATGTGCAGATTAGAACTGCTCCAGAGAGTTTACAAGAAGCAGATCAATAGGATGGTCCTCTGAGCTGCCTTTGGGTGGATTCAAACTGTCAACCTTTCAGCTGCTAGTAGAGTACTTCAGGATATGCACCACCTATGGACTCCTGTGTCTTTTGTACATATCTGAATTTTGAATCGGATGGCTGGCTGGCTGATGTCCTGTTCCTGAATATTTAACATTAAAATTCAGAAGTCAGGTGGACTCATTTCTACTAGTGCTGAGAGCTGACAGTTTGAGCTCTTGCCATGTGTCACGGCCTGGGATGATTGGTGTTCATAACAACCTGGTATAGGGTTTCCAAGCAGCAGCTGGCGGGTTTGAACTGCCAACCTTGTGGTTCACAGTTCAGTGCTGATCCTAGCACGCCACACCAGGAGTCTGTAGGATCTGAAACGAGTGCTCTCTTATGCATTAAACACCAACTTTCATTCTAATTGATGGCAAGCCCAGGTAGGTCAGATGAAAGTGTGTTCCATAGAGGTTTCAGTGGCTGAGTTTCTGCAAGCAGACCACCAAGCCTCTCTTCTGACATGGCTCTGGATGGATTCCCACCTCCAGATTTTTGGTTAACAGCTGAGCACATTAACTGTATTCACCTCCAGATATTCGTTTCATACATTGTTGTTGTTAAGTGTGGTCAAGTCTGTCCTGACTCCCAGTGACCCTGTATAGGGTTTCCAAGGAGCAGCTGGCGAGTTTGAACTGCTGACCTTGTATATCAAACCAATCTTGCAGTTGAGTGCTTATCCTCTAGCCCCACACCAGGACCCTTTCATGTATTAGCCTATAACAAATCCTCTGAGGTAGGCATAATTATTATGTCCATTTCAAAGATGAGGAGCCTGAGACTTAGAGGGGGAATCACATGGTTTGCTCAGAGTAGTTTGTCAGCAGGTACAAAGGGAATGGAGACCAGTCTGCCTGCCTTGTCCTGCACCCCTTCCTACCCATGTTGAGCCACATTGGATCCTGGGCTGGTCCTCCACATCTGGGAGCTAAATATTGTTGCCGGGAGAAAAACAAGAGCAGAGCATTGTGGTTGAAGAGGAGGGTCTGAACCGCTACCCCACCCCCACCCTCACACACATCCATCAAGTTTCCTTAGTTTTCAAAACCTCTTCTCCAACCCGGCTCTCACTCTCCCACAGGAAGCTGTTTGTATTCCTGGCGGTGCTCATCTGCTTCATGACCTCCACCCTCATCATCTTTTTCCTATTTCCCCGGTCCACCGTTGTGCAGTCTGCAGGCCTCAACTTTTCCACAGTGGCCCTTAATGAAACTGGTATCAGCCTCAACTTAACGGTTAGTGGCTGCTCCTGGGCTCCAGCCCCCACCCTCCCAGCAGCCTTTCTTTGGAGCCTTTGGCCAGCATTGTAACCTGGGCATGGGTAGCTGGGGTTCTGAGAGCACCCAGAGGATGTTGGAAGCCTGGGGAGAAGCAGGGGCAACCATGAGCCGCCAGAAAAGATTGGGGCTCATGATCCCAGATGATCCCAATGAGGGATCAGAATTGAGACCTGATAAATCATAGGATGCAAGGTAAGGGTGCCTGCCACTCCAGAGTGGCACATGGGAAGGAAAATCATTTGGGGTGGAGGAGAGCTCCTGAGTCAGATTCATGTCTTGAACATCACCCTTCACCATGAGGGGCCCCCTGGTACCAATTCTCCACACCTGAGATGCATCATTCATGGAGAGAGGGGCTCAATCAGAGAGGAGAGCAGGGGTTTGGAATTTATTGTCAAGGAAGACCACCCTCATCCCTCGTCTTCATTTCCAGAATGTCTTGAAAATCTCCAATCACAATTACTGTCCTATCACGGTGACCCAGCTGGCCATTGAGGTTCTACACCTCTCACTTGTCGTAGGACAGGTCTCCAAGAACCTCCTCTTGCCCATCGGCCCTTTGGCCAGTGAACAGGTGACTCCCCTCTCCCTGGCCAGCCTGCCTATTGGCAGGTGGATCTGTGTGGTGGTGGGAGGGGAGCACCTGGCATTGTCACTGACCCTATGCCCATTTGGTTGGCAGATGTTTTATGCAGTGGCTAGCAACATTCGGGATGAAAATACATAGTGAGTATCCCTTGATCGCTCTCCTCCCTTAGCTCCTTTACAGCTTAGCAAACCCTGCAACCAGTGTTTGGCCTGCTCTCTTGTGGCCAAAGCTGCAATGTGCAAGGGTTCAGCATCCTCCGCCTCTGCTTTGTTGCTATTAAGTGCCATCTAGTTTCCAATTCATAGCGACCCTGTATAGGGTTTCCTAGGAGAGGCTGGTAAGTTTGAACTGCCAACCTTGCACTTTCAAATCAACATTGCATTATCCCACAGTGCCACACCAGCCTCTGCTTAAATTTGGTTAATCCTTCAATTGTGACTGGTTGTGGAAGATGAGTGTCTTGCTTTCTGCTGAGGGTAGAGCCAGCATGTGTCTGGGGTAAGAAGGGGAGGATTGAGGATTGGGGAGGTGCTGCTAACAGAGTGCCACAGTCACCTTAGATGGTGAAGAGAGCAAGGGAAGGGTGGGGAGGGGGAAGGAGAGGAGGCTGGGACTCTGAGCTTTCTGACTGACTGCTTCATATGAAATATGGTCCCACGTTTAGTCTTTCTCTCTCTCAGCAAAATCTGTACCTGGCAGAAAATCAAAGTCCATCATGTGCTTTTATACATCCAGTAAGTAGACTTGGGGCCCGGACTCCCCTCCCCCACACTGACTCCTGCCCCAAGCTGTCTTCACAAATCTTTGTTGGCTCTTAAGAATAGCAAAATTAGTCCCTTCTATAGGTTGTTACATGCAATTATTGGTGACAGTCACAGAGTTATTGGGAAGCTACAGGCGTACAGGTGGGGCAGTTGTCCCAGATACTCTAGCTGGCAGAGTAAGGGGCAGAAGGAAGTGGGGAGGTCACAGCCCAACACCCTCTTTCTTCTCCAGGGGCACCTTGACCTATTCCTACCTGAGCCATTCAGAGCAGGTGGTTTTCCAGAGCTATGAGTATGTGGACTGCCGGGGAAACTCATCGGTGCCCCACTTGCTGACCCCTCTCCCACCATGACCTATGAGCCCTGCAATCTGGGTACCACCGATCTGTATCTCCCACAATTCTATTGTGCCCAAGGATGGACTATTGTGACCTTGCCCAAGGAAAATTCAACCACGTCCTGCCTCTCCCCTGTCTCCTCCACCACATGCCCACATTCACGCCATCTGATTTGCCATAGGGGCTTGAATTGGATCTGCCTTCAAGACCCTATGCTGAGCACCTTGTTGGCCGAGCTCCCTGGGGCTGACTGCCATCCATGCACCCTTTTCAAGTTCTCTACCTAGTGATAGCAGAGGGACTTTGGGGAGCATCCAGTGCTGCCTCCTGTCCCTTCCTGCTTTGATCATGTTACACAGTGATGGTGGCACTTTTAGTATCTTGCCCTCCGCCCATCTGACAAAATGATTCACCAAGTTCTGTAACCCTGTATCCTCCCTGGTTCATTGTTGCCTTAGGTTCCTGGGAAGACAGAGCTGGGTTCTTCAGGGAAACGCTCCTCTCCACAAAATAGTCCCCATAAAATAGCTTCTCCTCACATCAGGAGTCCAAGCAGAAGAGGGGGTGGGGTGGGGATAGGAGAGTCAAGAGACACTGGAGCACAGGGAAACAGAGCCAAAGCCAGTCATGTTAAAATCGTGCTTATTAAAGGAGAGTCCTGGCCAGTGGTGAGCCTGGGTGAGTGGACACAGGCAGGTCAAACAAAGGCTCTTTGTCCTAGGGGGCCCAGTTGCATTCTCCTGCTCCCCTCACCCCCTCCCAGCCCCATGGAGGTGAAGCTCTTGGTTTCTAGCTAAAGCTGCTTGACTCTGCCCCCTTCCTGCCTTAGCACGGCCCCTTTCTCTGCTCCCAGGAGTCTCTTGCTGTCCTCCCAGCTCTGTGGCAGCACATTGGCAGGAATAGGTCTCAATCCTCTCCTTCATGGTACTCCACTAGTGTTAAAGCACCAGATAACCTGCAGGTACCCACTGGGCTCTATGTGGAGGTGAATTTAGTTCTTCAGCTGAGCAGGAATGGGGTTTGCTTGCTGAAGGGAGGCTGTGGTTTCTATGAATCAGACAGGTGGAGAGAGGCAAAAGTCAAGTGTGCAGTAGGATGGATGGAGAAGGGAAGGATGGTACCTGGCACCTAGTTGGCCGGGACAATGAAGGGAAGGAAGGAGTCCATGCTGTCTCCATGCTTTCACACCTGGGTATTGGGGTAAAGGTGATGCCGTCAAGAGCAAACACGGCCAGAGAGGCCAGGCTGGAGCGTCTGCTGTGCCTAGGTCACTAATGTAAAGGATTTATGTACTAACCAATAAACTACATTTAACAGTGTCCCCAAAAAGTCTCCTGTGAGTGGGAAGGGCTGGTGGACACATCCCTGTTGTGCAGCCTTTTTCTCATGTCGTGGTGGGTGTTGGGGTCTCCTTTCCCCGGGCCCCCAGAGCTCCTCTGAGAGATTATACGCATGAGCTTGCTGGCTGGCTCTTGTTCTCTCATTTCAAATCTCTAAGATCCTTCCAACTTAAATTGGAATCACATCCCTGTCTGTCCCACCCTACCCACCCCAAGATGCTTCCCTCAGGAAATATCCCTGCATTGCACTGAAATAGGTAGGGCTCCTTCAGTCTGGCCCAAGGTGATGTGCAGGCGACAAGGAAAAGACTTTTGGGACCATCAGACCTGGATTTGTGATTGGAGATAGTGGCAGGAAAGGAATTCCCAGAGTTTGTGTCTTCCTGAAGCTTTACCCGCAGGGTCTCCTCAGACCTGCCCCCTCTTCCACCTTGGACTGGTTTGAGGGTGCCTTTGCCTGTTGGAGCCTCATAGTGTTCTCTTCTAGGGGTCGGAACTGATTCCACGGCACATAACAACAACAAAAAGTGTTCTAAGTTGAAAGGTTGAGACCCAGGAAGGGAGATGCCTGTGTAGTTTAAAAGATAAGTCTTGTCTCCAGCCGTATGGCTCCAGGCCCCATGAGCTCTTGGCTCTTCATCCCCACCAGCCCCTACCTTCCTTTCCACAGGCTTACACTGCTTGCTCCCTCAGACTCAATCCCTCGTTCCCCCAGCTGTATGTAAGTTATAGGGGGAAGAGGTCCCACTTCCAATGACAGCCACAAACCCCAAGTCCCCAGCAGATCTGCCATTGCTGAATAAGGCCTAGTCATGGAGTTAGAGATTTGGAGGTCCAAGGGCTAAGTTCTCCCATTGGCCTTGCCTAGATAAGCTTCAAACTGCCTTCCACTCTTTTTCCACCCTGTCCTTCCCCTTCATGGGTCATCTTGCTCACTTCCCCACATCCCAGTTTCAGAGATGACCAATCTTTTGATTGTTTCCAGGAAGAAGTCACATTTTATTTCCAGCTAGCCTCCCCTTCTAGAGTGTAGAGCAGCAGCCAGGGGGTGGTTTTCCAAGTGTAGACAGTACTGAGTGGGGAGGTGAGCCTGTTCTGCTAATGGCCAGCAGAGTCTGGAGGTCTATTTCTGGATCACCACTGTTGTTTGTAATTTGTCGACTACGGGGAGAGAGAGAAGCCAGCAAAACAGGTTAGTTTAGAAGGTTTAGGGAGTGATGTAAGATGTTAGAATAGGCAGCTCCAAGCTCCTGTTCCCTTACAAAATATTGAAAAACAAGTAGAAATTGTCAAAACCAACTTGGTCGGAACTCTGGAAAATCCTGGAGCTGAAAAGTATAATAACAGAAGCAAACAAATGCTAAGTCAAGAACAAGACAACTTCCAAACAGGAGAGCTTTGAGGCTCTTTTGCTTACACACACTTTACCCCTCTTTGGTTCCAGCAGTCTTAAAAACTGAAGCCCACAATGCCAGTGTGTAAACTCCCCCACCTCCCATTCTGGAGGGAGCAGAGTAGAACTTTGCAAATGATTGTGTTCATCGGGTCTAACCTGCCTGGGGCCAGCCTGAAAGACACAGAGCACTCATGGTTTCAACTCTCAAACTCACTCAGGGCTAGAAAAACAGCAGGTATTGCTTGAAAGCACTGGTAAAGGCCTACAGTCAATCCACAGCCACCTGGGGCAGAAGAGTACATTTGAGAAATACAGTCGACCATGAAGACTTGGGAGGAGATGCCAGGGAAAGAATTTCTTTGGGAAACAAGCACATTGAAAAGTGCTCATGTATAAACATGGATGGGGCACTAATCATCTCAGCTGTAGTAAGTGAGTGTTGTTCTACTTTATAAAACGCAAATAAACCCTGTACAATAATAGAGAATGTGACCAATGTCACTGTACGTATGTGTAGAAATTATTGAACAAAAACCTGCTTGGCTGTAATACTAAACCCCATCACCTATGGACAACTTGATTTTCGACAAGGGATCAAACTGTATCCAATGGTGAAAAAGGTTTCTTTAATAAATAGTGCTAACAAAACTGAATACCCTCTTGTAGAAAAATAAAAAAGAACCTATACCTCACAGCATATAGAAATGAATCCAGGACCTAAATGTTAAACCTTAATAGAAAATTCCTGGAAAAAAACCTTGCTCCTAGCTCTAATCCAATTCTTACCCCTAACTGTAGTCTAACCCTAATCCTGACACTAAACACAATCCTAGACCTAGTTAGTCTTAACACTAACTAATTCCTTACTTCTACACACACATACACAAAATCCTAGACCTAGTTAGTCTTAACACTAACTAATTCCTTACTTCTACACACACATACACAAAATCCTAGACCTAGTTAGTCTTAACACTAACTAATTCCTTACTTCTACACACACACACACACAAAATCCTGGGCAAAAACAATCTTTTGTAAAAGGATAAATGCATTTTAATAGAAGGCAAAAGAGATAAATGGGACATAATAAAAACATGTTTATCATGGGTAAAAAGAACCTACAGACTGGGAAAAAAACTTAAGGACCTAACCTCCAAAGTGTATAGAAAACTTTAATAACAGATGAATGTTAGGTGCCATGGAGTCAGTGCCGACTCATAGCGACCCTGTCTAGGGTTTCCGTGGAGCAGCTGGTGAGTTTGAACCTCTGACCTTGCAGTTCAAACCGACCTTATGGTTGAGTGCTTATCCTACAGTGCCACACCAGGATAACCGGTTATAAAATGGGCTAAGGACATGAACAGAACATTCACCAACTGCAAGTAGCTAACAAACCCAAGAAAAGATGTTGGTGATCATTAACCATTGTTAATGATTTTTGTACCATTGAGATGATTCCAACTTATAGCAACCCTATGTAGGGTTTGAGAGCTGCTGGTTTGTTTGAACTGCCTACCTTGAGGTACCAGTCCAAAGCTTATCCTACAGCATCACACCAGGGCTCATTAGCCCTTGTTAAGTGCCTTGGAGTTGACCCTGTATAGCAGGGGTGGTGAATGTCCGGCCCTAGAGCCATATTGTTGTTAAGTGCCGTTGAGTCAATTCCAACCCATAGAGACCCTGTATAGGGTTTCCAAGGAGCAGCTGGTGAGCTTGAACCGCCGACCTTGTAGTTCAAATGGCTTTGCAGTCTGGAGCATTAACCCCCAGTGCCACACCAGGACTCCTAAGGCCCGCGAAATCACTTGGTGTGGCCCTGTCAAGGCAACCACAATTCTAGCTGTCACGTAAAGTGCCGTCAAGTAGGTTCTGACTCATAGCCACCCTGTATAGGGTTTCCAAGGAGCAGCTGGTGAGTTTGAATCGCTGACCTTGTGGTTCAAACCGACCGTGTGGCCCATTAGCCATTGTTGTTAAGTGCCATTGAGTTGGTTCTGACTCACAGCGACCCTGTATAGGGTTTCCAAGGAGCAGTTGGTGAGTTTGAACCACCAACCTTATGGTTAGCAATTCAGTGCTTATCCTACAGCGCCACACCAGAACTCTATTAATCATTGTTGTTAAATGCCATTAAGTCCATTCTGACTCAGAAACCCTATGCAGGGGTTGCTATGAGTATGAACCACCAACCTTTTGGTTAGCAGTCCAGTGCTTATCCTACAACACCACACAGATATGTGAGAACAGGCGTGTAAATGCAGATACAAGGGGCCTCA